GAGATATAAAAAAGCAACGAGTGAAATCATCGAGAATGAGCAAATTTTCCACAATCATCGCACACAGATAATACCAAGAAAAGAGAGCCAAATAAGGAAAGGCAATCAGAGAGGCAACATAAGAAACGCAAACCAATTTTAAGTGATAATCAATATAACAAAAAAAGAGCACAAACGTAAAGCGAAATCAAATTGAAGGCTTTATTAGCTATAGACAACAACACCAATCAACTACAAAACACCAATCAACAACTAGAATTTTGTGATAAAGTCAAGTGTAAATCAAAGTGTGTGCGTGTGTAGTAATAAATAAAAGTTTCATGGGGCTTATTGCATAAATTCCCATTTAACCGTTAACCGTTAAGAGTGATAAGGTCCGACGCTAAGGTCCCATAAACGCAGATTGCGTGCTAAATAATATAATACATGCTCCTGAAAAAAGACACCGTGAGCTGCGAACCGGCGAAAGATTAAGTTTATATTCCCATAACTGCCATTTTCCACTCACTTTCCCAATGTCGTTCACTTTTCCAAGACTCCAAAATCAACAACTACCAAAACAACGCCAACAAAATCACCAATAACAACAACTTTAACAAATCGAAACAACAACAAAAAAATTCGAAAGGATAAGAAGTTAATTGAGAGACAAGCGAATCAGCTTGAAGGGCGACATCAAAGCCACGCTGATGATGGGCTACATCATGGGTTGTGCTTGTTTCAAAGGTAGGAAAGAATCAAGTGCCGAATACGAGTATGTGAATACACAGAAAAAAAAGGTTTAAAGTGATATTAGACGACCGTTTTACTAGATATTCAAATTTAACTGGCTAACTTTTGAGTTTTCCATATTACTTTTAATTTTTCCATATTTATTTATTTATGCGTAATGCATTTTTATTTGATTGCGATTAAGAACTCTATTTTTTTCCAGATTTTCGGACAGGGGGAAAATGTTACAAAACAAAACATTATTCGGAAAATTATAATCATTACTACAAGTGTATTAATTCTTTATGCAATTTCCAGAAATTTTAAATTATAAAAAATGGCTTTTAATCTATTTCATTAAAACAAATTTTTGTTTACCAGTGTAAAGTGGAATGTGAAGAGGATGCGAATGAGTATGTGAATTGAGTGGTAAAGGCATGTGGAATATTTCCAGGAATGAATTAAGGAGTGCATTGGTACTCATGAATGAATAGATGGCTTATTTAAGTTAATTTGTTAAATTTAAGCTTAAACCCATTAAAGACATACATTTTTAAGTGTCATCTAAATTCTTCACTTTTTATAAAAAAAAGTTTAACGATAACTAATAGTAAAGTCAATAAAAAGTTTTTCTTTAAAAGTTTTTACAAAATACTGTGTGTTTCCAAAGAAGTTGGATTATAGCTATGGTTGAGTTATAAAAAGTTCTGGGCTAATTGAAAAAAAAAGTTTCTTTAAGTTTTGTGGTAGTTGTCAGTTATATAGTATCTTTCAGTCGATCCCCTTTCCATCCAAATGCATTTCAACTGTCAATCGTCAACCTGTCAACGACCACCCACGAATTTCCCATCTCACTCGTTTGGTTTTTCCTTCCGCTCATTAGGCGGCTCTCAAAGAAAAGGGGGAAAATCTCAGGAAAAAAAGAATTGCAGCTTGAGGCTTTTTGTCACGCTTTTTCGGTTTTTCTCGCATTCTGCTGCACACGCATTTTCGCATTTTTCTATGCAACGTCACCGACGACGTCACACAAGTGGAAATGAGAGCCTGCGCTCTGCATCCTGCGCGCTCTTTATCCTCATTTTCCTCTCTCGCACTGTTAAGTTTTTCTACTCAACATTCCCTTAACAGTGATTTATAACATTTTTTATAGCAACTCGATTATTTTGGTTTTTTATGCATTTCGCTTGGTGATTTTCTACTGTGCTTTTTGGTTTTTCGCTGCTTTTCATGGTTTTTACTACTTTTTTCTTTCTTGTCCTGTCGGTCTTTATTTTTTGTGACCCTGTGTGTGTAAATTACTCGATAGCCTTTTTGAGTGCAATGTGATTTTTATGTTGCCTTTTGCACTTTCCTTGTTGTTTTCTAGCCGAATGTTTGTGGATTTTTCGGGGGGTGTAATGGTTCAGTCCTTGAGTTTGTTTGTCTGGTTAGATTGGGATATGAAAGGTATATAACGTATACGTGGCGGTGGCTTGATTTGTTTAGAGGTGAAGTGCATTCTCTGCTTACCTTGTGGTTCTACTGTTTGTCCTGATTGTCAGTCAAGCTTAGCCTTGCATTATTTCATTGTTTGATCGGTGGTTAGTTTGGGGTTAATCCTAATTGAATGTTAGTTTTAATAGCCCGAAAAAAATAGGTAACACTTTACAAAAAAAGGTTCTAAAACTATTTGAAGATATCTTTTGTTCAAGGGTATATAAATAAATATTGTATTTTATTATTCTCTTATTCTAAAAGTTTATAGTTTAAAATAAATCCATTTAAATTCAATTTTGAAAGCCATTTTTAGTTAATTTTATTTTTATTAAGATGCCGGACTTGTTCTTATTCACTCATTTGTAGGTACTGAAATATTTCGTGTATTCCTACTTTATTTTTAACACCTGGAATTCGAAATTCTTTGTGAATGGTTAGCATTCTCCAACCATCTCGTTTGAGGCATTTCCTGTGACCTGCGATGGCTGAGAATGCCTTTGGGCACTTAGCAGCCTCCTTTCTCCCGCTTTCTCCACCTTTATCTCTTGGCTTTCTCCCCCTATAAGCTGTTCTTTGCTTTTGCATTCCATAAGCCACAAAGTATGAGTAAGCACTTAACCCTTTTCTTTGCCCGCTGCTTTCTCTCACCCCTTTCTTCACTCTCTCTCTCCTATATTTTCTCTGGCTCTCTTGCATTCCTGACACGCATTGCAAGTCTAACCTTTCACATTTATGCGTTGCACACGCCCATTTCCGCCCACTTTTTCTCTTCTAGTTAGTTTTATTCAATTTTTTCGCTATTTTTACTGATGCAATTTTACAGCGGAAGCGAGGAAATCGAGACAACCGTAGAGAAAGTGAGAGAAGAAGGGGGTAAGAAGGGGTTTAGGAAGGAGGTGAGGAAGGGGGTTTTGAAGGGGGTGAAGGAGGCTGCCTAAGTGCTTCGCCCATTAAAGTATGCAATCATTTTGCGGTTAGTTGCCCTTGTCTTCCTGCCCCTTGAATCACCCCCTTCGCCACCGCCACTTATCTTCTCCAGTTTCCTTAACCCCTTTTGCCCCTTTAGCAATTTCCCCGCTTTTACGGCTGCATAAATTTCGCCTCTGGCATTCGCCTTTAACCACTTTGCTAATCCGTTGTAAGGTCGCCACTTTCTTGACGGGATTAACCCATTCCAAGGCGTTTTCTCAGTTATTAACAAGAGCAGTAATTTAATTGACTAGCTAATAAAATAGATTATTCCCCACAATCTCTAAAAAATATACACAATATTTATATAAATAAATAAATAATTTTTCTTGAAATACATAATAAATATTATTCATTGTAATCCGTTTGATTTCTTCTTGAAATCCGATATTTCCCTCACTAAATGGAATAAAAAAATCTTTTTCATCTTTGACATTTGTGCCATATTTTTCGCTTTGACGTTTTTTCTGTGGGCCAAGTTCATTCATAAACAAATTAGTGGAATGTTCGCTTCTTCTTTTAAGTCTATGCCCCCACAATTAAATCGAAAACACAACCCACCCGCACCCCCTTCGGTTTATATCCAATCCCCTCTCACAAAAGTCGAACACCCGTAGAAGCTACGTATAAATAAATAAATAAACAAGCGTTTAATTGAACCGGAAATTATTGTGTGTGGGTGGGTTGTGTGAGTGTGTGAATGCTGCTGCTGCTTCTTCTTCATTCAGTTCTTATTGGAATTTGTTGTTCACTTTTATTTAGTTTTATCCCACAGCTGTTGTTGTTTGTTCGCATTGCGTTTTAGCTCTTCAACTTGTGTTTGCCCAGTTGGTTTATCGTAGTTTGTAAGAGAGAGAGAGGGGTATGTGTGTTCTGGAAGGGGAAAGAGATGGGGGACTAGAGACGTTTTCTCGCTTCGGGGCAACAAAAATATATACATGTTCCCTGATTAGTTTTATTCTCGGTTCTCCTAACAAGTGCCAGAGATTTAAGCTGAAATAGGATTATGTAGTAAAAGTTTTGGGAATATTTATCGTTTCACTTTAAGAGGGTTGTCTTGCAATTAAAGTTTATCCGAAGGTTTATGTTCAGTTTAAATGGGTTAACTATAATCTTTTCAATCTTTTATCTTATAAATAGTTTTCTTGTGGCATTTAAATAGATTTATTAGATTGCATTTATTAGTTTAGAAAACTACTTTTTCTTTTATTATTTAATTTTTTTTATCACAACTTAACTTATTTTTTAAAAATACAATTATGGATATTTTCTCATAAAGTTTTTTTATTTATCATAAAATTTTTTTTTAATATAAATCCATGAAATTAAATCATTAATTAACTACATTGTTAACTACATTCACCATTTTAATTAAAATAGATTTGATTAATTGAATTGTCTGCTAGGCATTTAAATCATCAAATAAAAATTTCGAGAGCTTTACAGAGAATCTAGCATTCATCGTTTACATTGAGAATAGGGATTCCCCCCACTAAATCCCATTAATATTCAACCCCTCGCATTAGCGTGATATTTTCAATTTCCTTGTGTGTGTTTATGTGTGGGTGTGTGTATCTGTGTGTTCTGGGTATCTTGCAGCACTTTCTGGTAAATTACAGTTGACAGTCGTTGCATGTTCGACTTGCGATACTCGACAGTTGCCATTTCCATTAATGGCTACTCTCAGCCACGCCCCCAACTTGTTGAATTAAATATAATTTGACGTTATTTATTTGACTGGAGCAATTCGAGGAGCTATTCGGGTATCTCAGCACCCTAATTACCCAGCTGAGAAGGCTATAAAATATCCTGAGGACATCGAATGCCACTTTAGTATCGCCGAAATGTCTCGAATTGTCACTGCTTTTAATAGAACGGTTGTGGAATATTTTCGAAAAACAAGTCTCAATGGTTTCGGCCTGCTTTACTTTATACGAAAACGTCGAATTCAGCGAATCTTCTGGTTTTTGTTTATTAGCTTTGGCATACTTTTTGCTGGTTATGCAGTGTTTGAAATGATTCTGGAATTTCTCAGCTATTCAACTATTGTGGATCTTTCGGAATTAAGGGTTTTGGAAGAGGAAATGAGTTTTCCTGAGCTAAAAATATGTAGTGGCTATAGATTTAGTCGCAGGAAAATGCTAAGTTATGCTAGTGATTTAAAAAGTTCTTATAATAAATCGATGGATTATTGGTTCGAGAAATTGTCATTGCTTTCGGCTTATTTTGATCTTTTATCTGTAAAATCAGAGGAGGTTAAGGATATAAATACCTTACTGAATATAAGTAATATTACTTCAATTTTACTAAGTTTAACTCCCGCCTGTGAAACTCTAATACTAAAATGTGAAATTAATCATATAAAAGTGAATTGTTCAGAATTATTTATATTAAAAGCTTATAGCGAAGGTAATTGTTGTGTTTTAAACAGGAAAAATCTCACAGGAGAACTCTCGCTTTTCCTCGACTCCTCACAAGAAGATGCACATCCTTTAAAGGATAATTTCCCAGGGTTTAGCGTCCATGCTCCAAGTTGGCTGGGTAGAATTAGCATTAACCCTGGTGAAAAAGCAGCTGTGGAAATAGAAGTTATGGAACTTCAGGGAAATTCAAAATTAAAAGAGTATGCCATAGAAAAGCGAGGTTGTTATTTTCCTCAAGAGGGCGAAAGTAGGGAAAAGTGCCTTCACGGTTGTAGAACAAAAGCCACGCTAATTAATTGCCAGTGTGTGCCATATCCATTTGAGTTAAGCAAGGAGAACTTTAAGCATTGCACTTTGGAGAATATAACTTGTTTGCAGTTGGTAGAGGGTAAGTCTCGCTTATTTCTCTGTTTAAATAATAAAATAATTTAATATTATTTAAATAAACCCAGAAAACTGGTCACCAGCTCAGTGTCGCCAGTGTCTGCCTCTCTGCAATCAATTGTTTTATAGATTAAACAAACATATCCTGGGACATTTGCATCCTTGGCGCAGTGAATTGAATTTTAAATTTAAAACATCACGACGCCAGTTGTACAAAACAAATATACTCTACCATTGGTATCAGATGTTGTGTGAGTTTGTTTTAATTTTTAAAATAATACAAATTAAATTTAAATATATATCTTTAATTATATTTAACCACAAAGCAAACATTGGCGGCGTTCTGGGCATTTGCATTGGCTGCTCTTTCATCAGCGGCTTCGAGTTGATCTACTTTATGGTCTTTCGCTTCTGGTCCAACTATCTTCGGCAGCAGCCAGAGATTTAATTAAGTTAAATGTTACACATACGCCATGTGGGCTCAAATTTGCTGTTGTGATTTATCTCGGTGACAACGTGCGAGCGACAGGGTCGCATTAATCTTGATGACTTGAATTGTAACTGAGGCGAAATAAATGAGCGAAAAAAAGGGTGGAGGTGGGTTGCTGTGTTGTGGGTGGGTGGCTGTAGCTTAGCTGTGGAGTGTGCCGATCATCAAGGTTAAGTGGTCTGCTGAGCCCGCTTTTCATCGTCTCGGCTTGTTCGCAGTTCGTCGCCTGGGGGGCCACTTGATGACTACTGAGCGCCAACAAAAAGATACACAAAAATGTGTCTCCTTGTACATAAACTGCAAAAAAATATTTTACTTTACATTGAATATGATTTGTAGATCAGGATTAGCCACATTCAAACCAGAAAAATCCGCATGATAATATATATTTGTATTCTTTTTGATGGAATAGGTAGTTTAGGTTGATTCTAAGGTGAATTTTTAATTTAAGTTGGGAAATAATATTAATGAATAATATTTATGTCCCGCATTTTTATATAATTTCTTGATAAAACATCCTTAATTTCATTGTAAATATTTTTATAATAAATTGGGTAGAAATATTTCTTACAATACTTACTAATTTAGACCATACCAATATTTTAATAAATATTTATTATGATTCTTTTTGAAAAAACTTTTTTATTTATACTATTTTAATATTTTTACTTTTTTAAGCCAGTAATTTTTTTTATTAAACTCCTCATTAAAGATATTCTTTAATGTTATTTTCTCTCAGTGAATATTGTGCGAGTGTGAATGCCTTTCTTAAGTGCACTTCAGCGTGCGTTTTACTGTATTGATTTTTTCTCAACCTACTTGTCAACTTTTGAATAATAAAATTCTTTCTTTTTCTTTCATTGCAGGTGAGTTTTCCCAAGAAAATTGTCTCGCGACTTTTATATGGCGTAAGTTTTATAACGTTTAAAATTTAAATTTCTAAAAACCTAGTTAACAGAAAATGTTACTAGGCAGCCGAGTAACAGGTGAAAGCTTCGAAAAGCTTTTTAGAGTAAGAAAATTAGCTAAGAACGATTTTCTTGGACAAGCTTTAGGGAAAAGCTTTTCATCTTAGCTCTCGAGTTGTTTTAAACAAAGTATAATTTTTATGGACCTTTGCGGATTATCACAAATCATGTTCAATCAATTGAAAATTAAGACAGAGAAGGTCTACAAAAAAATCTCAAACCATGAATTATCAAAAATCTGGTGATAAAAACTGCAATCTAAGCACGGAGTAAAATCTAGGAGCTGCCTTTACACACCCACCCACATTTAATAGCCTTCTGGCGGTTCAGAAAAAAACAGTGAGCAAGGCGAATGTCTCCATTAATTTTAAAACCGCCAACTTATCAGGGCGGCGGCGTCATGGTCCTAAGTGATTTCCCAAGCTTCGTTGATTTACGGGGGAAAACGAAGCAGCGGATATCTGTTCTATTTTACACACATAGTAGATCCACTAAGCGCAAGGACATGCGATGCCATGTCCTTCACCTTCCTCTCATTGCCTCCAAAAACACAAAAAAAAAAGAAGCGAAAAATTTATACATAAATATCTCCGAGCGGAGGAACCTTCGGCATTCCTTTTAAAGTATTCCGTATGCGGCGGCGGCTTGTCCTGACATTATTATTTTTTATTTCTCTCCCCGGCTGATGAGCCTCTCTGATCAAAGGCATTCCGAACTGGCTTTTCCGGGCAACAGTTTTCGGGGGAAAATTCAATTGGTCCCGCTTAATGTGTCACATTACAGTCAATTCGAGTAGTTCGATTTAGCGGCAACTAATTTCGGATATTTGAAAAGTCCCCCAAGTTTAAGTGGGTATGCTTTGAAAATAGCTCTTAGTTTTTAGGGGGAAAATAATTGTAATTTAATGCTGGTTTTTCAGTTATTTATTGTATGGAGTTGTAAAAATGTTTAAGACAAAGCAAACAAAATAAATATCTTTAGGTTCGACTCCCACATTTTTAATAAACACAATTCTGGTAAAAATGTTTTTTTTTTAACCATATAAACCCCCATATTTATAATTTTTCATAAAACATATTTATGCATTTTTTTAAATTTTAAAAACGAATATTTTAAACCTCCCAAATAAAAATGTTATGATGAGGACTATCATCTTACTAAAAATCATAAGAAACATGAAAATTGTCTTCTATTTTAGCTAAGAAAAAAATCCTAAAAGCGCAATTTCAGTTAGCTTAGAAATTTAAGGTGTGAAAAACTTGTTTAATTTCTTCACAAGTGACCATTGTTACCATTAGCAACATGTGCAAAAAACGTATTTCTAAAGGTCTGTGTGTGTGTGGGCGGCAGAAGAAAAGTTTTCATTGCAAACTTGAAATGAAATTGGTTCAAATTAAACATTTCGAAGAGCTTAAACTTGCGCCTCAAATTGCCTGCCATTGTGTTCGCCGCTCGACAAACTCCGATCGGATGTGGGCTCCAAGGACATTTAGGCAAACCCGAAAGCAACCCCCTTTCTCAACAGAATCCTGCATCGATGTTGACTGTCTCATTTGCATAATTCTAATATGGAACATTTTTGGCCAGCAGCTCCCTCAACTGTCCACCTACTGAAACACACACACGTACTCGGTTCCTCGTCGTCCTTTGGCAGGAGATTTGCATAAATAAAAGCGTAGTTGTGCCTCCATGTCGTCCTTGTCAACGTAAATTACGGCCATTTGATTTCGGCAATTACAACGCATTTTTGTGCAACAATTTTCCACAGAAAATCCCCTTCACCCACCTTTTCTGATTTATCTATTTTTTCTTCCAGGGCAATTTCAATTTAAGCTCCTGCTGCTCTCACTCAGCTTCGACATGTTGGCCAAGTTAATTATGAGCTTATCCTTGGACTTGTCTGCAGTCGACTATATTTATTGTCGCCGTCTGTTCTGTTCTGTCTGCCCAACTTCCTCTGTGATTTTTCCATTGTTCGCGGATATTTTCCTGCAACCAAGTCGCAGCAATTTGGCTCGAGTCCCAAAAAAAAGAAACGAAAAAATAAAGCAAGGTAGACAACCTTGGCCATGGGAAGGGCTTTCCATTTATCTATTTAGTATTTTTCGTGACTTGTTTTTTCGGACTATTTGCATTTTGCGGGCGGAAAATGAGAACGAAAATGATTATCATTTGTTTTCGTTAAGTTGGCTAAAACCAAACTGTCCAGAGAGCCAACAAGTTGTGGCAGCTCATAAAAATGAATTACGTGCGACGGGCGGTTCCAAGGATTCTGTAGTTTATCTAAGCTTTTCCCCTACTCAACCTTTTCCTTTTCCTAGGATTTTTCCTAGATTTCCGGGGATAAGTTTGCGGTGGTAGTGGGGTTTTTTGGGCATAAGGAGCATAAAGAGCATATTCACGTTGGTTGTCCCATCATATGGGACAATTTTGTTGTGGTTTAAAGGAATGCAAATTGAATTTGCTGGGGGTAAATTTATGTATGAGGAAATTCGTAAAATATACGCTTGATTTAAAAGCCATACAGGATGGAAGTTGTAATAAATGTATTTCCATATTTTTCTCATCAATTTATGCACGGAAGTTATTACGAAGGATATTTATTTGTTTCTTTTTAGTTTATTATTGTAAATAAATATGTAAATAAATATCGAATTATTCTTTGCAAAAATAGATTTTTTGGATTTAAATATTAATTTGTAATCTTAGTTGTTAAGATTTAATATTTTTTTGAATATTAATATTTATAATATTATTAAATAAGATTAAATCTAATTTCTTTTTTTATTCTCTCCCTAAAATTAAATTCTTTGATTTAAAATGTATAAAGTAAGTTGCGTATTCTCCTTTGGCGCACCAACTTGAATCGTTTCGTCCAATTACAAAAAATAATTCAAAATAATTTGTATCGATTTGGTCGTAAGAGCTCTTCCCGTTTTTTATTCGCTTTTCGCATTTTTCCCCTAACGACTATTTGGCCTGCATCAATTTCTCCTTTGCGATTTACATGATTTTGCTTTGCCGACGACTTTCCAATCCGCTTTTCCGCTTTCCCCGCCCCGCCGATCCCCTTGACCATTGTGTAAGTCCCGGAGTCTTATGCAAATGCTTTCAGGGACGACGAGTCCTCTCAATCGTGGAGGGATTCCTGTGCTGTCGTCCTGTCCGTTCAATCAAAGTTGACATTCCCTGGCGGGAACAGGACTCCAGGACTCGGGACTCGTCCCTGTCATTGTCATTTTCATTCTCTGTGTGCGTTGAGTTTGTCGAGTGTGGGCGCTTTAAAGCGATTTTATTTATGCAACGGCATGTGCCTGCTGAGCTGAGTTCTTAACCGAATTTCGCATGCAAATTTTGCACGTGCGCCTCCATCTTTGTGTGCATTTAATTATTAAAATTTAATTTGACCAATTCTCCGGCTTGCTTTTTGTTCAACCCCAAAATCAGGTTGGAAACTACTCTAAAATTGAGGACACCCTCTCGAATTCTTTGTCTACCAGGCAAACAACCTGTTTGCATCCTCTGAAGAAGCAAAAAAAAAAGAAATCTAAAATATGACCCGAAATAGTTTCTTTTTTTAGAGGAGAATATGGTGGCACATCATTGTTATTCCTGTTGCTCTTCTCTTTTAGCTGATAAATTTTTGATAACTTGCGTCACTGGCATTTTTAATGCAAAAGAGGGAGCATTTTCTCCTGTTTTTAAGAGAAACAGTTAGCATTTTAAGAGAGCCAAAAGCTTTTCCCATTTTCCCAGCACGTGCCGATTTTGTCGGCGAAAAGCGAATTCAAGTTCAAGTCGCACAACATTGAAAGCCAAGTTCACAGGCTCCAAGGCTCCCGCTCCCTCGTCGCCCTCTCTCTTTCTAGCCGTGTCATGCTCTCTCTTTCCCTTTCGCTGACTATGTATTTTTGTGATTATGTAAGCAGTTTCTGTGTTGTTACAGCTATTTGTTCCTTGTTGTTTTTTATTTACAACAATATTAGAAAT